CGGAGAGCATCGCAGAGTCAAACATGCTGTTAAATAACCCAGTGAGATTAGGTATCTATCAGTAGTTCACTATAATGCGTGTAAAATCTGAGAGGTGCCCACAGGCACCAGGGACCTGGGAACTATTAAATCGGGATAGCATCAGCTAGTTCTTCAGTGGGAAGTGCCGCATCTAGGAGGGCATGTGTTTGTATTTTTAAATGAAGGGGGGTCTATTGAACCCAAGGATCTCATGTTTAGTGGACGCTCTGCTTTCATGCCGTGTTTCTGACCTCGCTGCTCATATTAGGCTAGGTTTACATATCCAACTAAACTGGGCATTTGACAGGCAGTACAGAGATGATATGATGTATCCGCACCATCTGATGTAATCCTTAAATGCTGCACTACCATGCCACAACTGATGTGGGGCATCCCCATTCACTTGAAGGGGTCTCTTTCAGTGGCAGCATTACCCACTGAGCGCAAAAAAGAGGATGCATGTTGCCGCGGGTGTGAAGCAGAGCAGGGCACATGAACACCCCCCCCCCCACACCACCGCTGACTTTGCAGCTTAAAGAGGGCAGTTGTGGGGTGTTAGTAATGTGCCTCAATCACATTTTTTTTTACCACTCCCCAACCACAAGTCTAAACAAGCCTTTACTGACATCTCAATCCCACTTGCATACCACCCACCAATCTGAGATAAGGACACACCTTTAAGCACAATATATGCAGGCAATGAACAGTCCTGTGCACGGTACATTACACAGTTCATGAATACACAAGAAATGACTGGTTACAATCACAAGAGTTCATCTTTATACTGGCTTTTAGGAGATGTTCACACCAGCCTGGAAAAACGCAGTTTTACTGCATGTGCTACTGCAGAGCCGCCTGTGTTTCTTTCCAACATCCACAACCCCTGAAGGAGGCTTTGATGTAATGGGGGGCTGTGATAAGGACCCTAATGTAAGGAGGGGTACTAATGGGGACTCTGATGTTAGGGTGACTGTAAAGCAAGGGGGATCTCTAATGGGTACTCTTATGGGGACCCTGATGTAAGGGGGGACTCTGATAAAACCCCTAATGTAGGGAGGGACCCTAATGGGGGTTCTGCAGTAAGGGGGATCTCTGATGTAATAGGGGTCTCTGATAAGTACCCTAATGTAAGAAGGGGCAATAATGGGGACTCAGGTGATAAGGGTGACTCTGATGGGGACCCTGATGTAAGGAGGGACTCTGATAAAAACCCTAATGTAGGGAAGGACCCTAACGGGGGTTCTGCTGTAAGAGGGAACTCTGATGGGGAGCCTAATGTAAGCAGGAGCACTAACGGGGACTCTGATGTAAAGGGGAGCTCTGATGGGGACCCTGATGTAATAGGGGTCTTTGATAAGGACCCTAATGTAAGGAGGGGCACTACTTGGGACTCTGATATAAGGGGAGCTCTGATGGGGACCCTGATGTAAGAGGGAAATCTGATAAGGACCCTAATGGAGGGAGGGACACTAATGAGGACTCTGATGTAAGAGTGACTGTAAAGGAAGGGGGATCTCTAATGGGGACTTTGATGGGGACTCTGATGTAAGGGGGACTCTGATAAAAATCCCAATGTAGGGAGGGACTCTAATGGGGGTCCTACTGTAGGGGGAAACGCTGATGTAAGAGGGGACTCTGATGGGGACCTTAATGTAGCGAGGGACACTAATGGGGACCCAGATGATAATGCTGACTCTGATGGAGACCCTGAGGTAATAGGCGATACTGTTAAGGACCCTAATTTAGGAAGGAACACTAATGGGGACTCTGATGTAAGGGTGTCTCTGATAAAAATCCCTAATGTAGGGATTGACGCTAATGGGGGTTCTGCTGTAAGGAGGAACTCTGATGTAATCGGGGTCTGTGATAATGACCCTAATGTAAGGAGGGGCACAAATGAGGACTCTGAACTAAAGGGGAGTTATGATGGGAACTCTGGTGTACGGGGGAGTTATGATGGGGACCCTGAGGTAAGAAGGAACTCTGATAAGGACCCTAATGGATGGAGGGACATTAATGGGGATTCTGATGTAAGGGTGACTGTAAAGGAAGGGGGATCTCTGATGGGGACCCTGATGTAAGGGGGACTCTGATAAAAACCCTAATGTAGGGATGGATCCTAATGGGGTTCTGCTGTAAGGGGAAATCTGATATACAGTAAGGAGGGACTCTGATGGGGACCCTAATGTAGCGAGGGCCACTAATGGTGGCTCAGATAAAAAGGGTGACTCTGATGGAAACCCTGGTGTAATAGGCGACCCTGATAAGGACCCTAATGGGGACTCTGATGGGGACCCTGATGTAAGGGGGGACTCTGATAAAAACCCTAATGCAGGGAGGGACTCTAATGGGGGTTCTGCTATAAGGGGGAACTCTGATATAAGATGGGACTCTGATTGGGGCCCTAATGTAGTGAGGGACTTCAGTGGGGACTCAGATGATAAGGTGACTCTGATGGAGACCCTGATGTAATAGGGGACTCTGATAAGGACCCTAATTTAGGGAGGGACACTGATGGGGACTCTAATATAAGGGTGACTGTAAAAGAAGGGTTATCTCTAATAGGGACTCTGATGAGGACCCTGATGTAAGGGTGGGCTCTGATAAAAACCCTAATGTAGTGAGGGACCTTAATAGAGACCATGATATAATAGGGGACTCTGATAAGGACCCTAATGGAGAGAGGGACCCTAATGGAGACCCTGATGTAATAGGGGACTCTGATAAGAACCCTAATGGAGAGAGGGACACTAATGGGGACTCTGATGTAAGAGTGACTTTAATGTAAGGGGGGACTCTTATGGGGATTCTGCTGTAAGGGTGACTCTGATGTAGGTGAAACTTTGATGTGGATCCTAATGTAAATGGGACACTTAAACAAGGGCAGACTTTGATGAGGACTCTGAAGAGGAACCTTCTGGGCTCAAGTCTATTGGAATTCTCTTTGCTTTGTTTTACTGAAATTCCTTTTGTATTGTTCAGAAATAAATCCGACTTATTACAAGTGTAGCACCCTTCTAGTTTAGCTAGGTGGAGCTAGACCCTGATTATCAGCTCAGGTGAGATAGTCAGAGGGGTCAAATTCTGGTCAGGACTGAGAGACTCTGCAGGCCAGCCCCTCTGGAATTCCGACCTGCTCTGAGGCTTTCGGAGGAGGGCCTTGGAGGCAGTGGGTGGTTCTGGGGAGTGGTTGCTGCACTTTTGAGAGATCTCAGCCAGTCCCCAACAGAAGGCTTGGCAAGGGGCTGGACCCCCTTAAAAGTGTTGGAGCCTGCTCTGTAGGAGGGGAGTCGGGTGGAAGAAGAAAAGATGAAGATATAAGGTTGAAGAAGAAGGCTGCCTGAGAGCCTGGAAAGGAGTAAAACTCAGGACTCACTGGCCCCATGAGAGAGGACCACCTGTATAGCAGGGAAGGAGCAGCCCAGCTGATAGGCCTGATAGCAGCAGCCATTCCGCAAGCGGCACAGGAGAGAATCAGAGGGAGTGCACCTGACCCCCCTGGGTGGATAAGGGAAGGAGCACTCTGCTGGGAAAACAGATTAGCCCTCTGCTACTGACTGTTACCCACTTAAAGGAACAGGAGCCAGATCCCCTGCTCAGGAAAACCTCCAGATTGCTGGGTGAGGAGGAATTTGTCTGGGGTCTAGAGTCTAGGGTCTGGGGTCTAGAGTCTGGCGTCTAGGGTCTGGGTTCTGGGGTCTAGGGTCTGGGGTCTAGAGTCTGGCGTCTGGGTTCTGGGGTCTAGAGTCTGGGGTCTGGGTTCTGGGTTCTAGGGTCTAGAGTCTGGTCTAGGATCTGGGGTCTAGAGTCTGGGGTCTAGGGTCTGGGGTGGTACAACTAGGAGATGCTAGCTAGCACTCCAACAGAGACTGTGACAGAGAAGAGAAGCTGTGAATAGTCCAGGAAGTTGTCCTCAGATCTTGGTTCCCTCCTGGGCATCCTATACCCCCTCTAAGCCTCTCCAAGTTTAATCCCCTGAATAAAATAACAAAACCAATGTGCTAGGCCTGATCTCTGTCTCCGGATGAAAGCTTGTGTGGAAAATGCTGACTGACTGGCTGTGCAGGACTATAGAGGGACCCAGATTCATCAGCGACCCCTAAGGGGGTAGTGCTACACAAGGAAGTTTCACAAAAACGTCATTCATTCATTGATCAGCTGATTGTTTCCAGCCCCGGAATGTTTGTAAAATACACAACATGGCCATCTCATTGCAGAGTGTGGAAGGTGAAGGCCTCGTCCACAGGGACGTACTACAGTGTACACCCGTCTGAGCGCTGTGTTTGCCCACATGTACAGGTGACCCACGTGCAGGGGCGGACTGACCATTTGGAAACTCAGTAGGGGGCCCCCATGAGATGCCCCTGGTACCTTTTTCATAGGCTTTTTTGAATTTGGGCAAGGACACAGGGGCCCCATGATTCCCTATTGCCTGGGGGCCCCATGAGTTGTCAGTCCGCCCCTGCCCATGTGTCCTCATGCTGAGAGCACACTGTCAGAGTTCAGGGCCGTGCACCCATATGGGTGTCAAATGGAGTCCTTGTATCCGCTGCATCCCAACCGCCATGACTGGGACCGCCTGCACAGGGGCAGATGAAACACATGTACGTTCCCAGGCAAACATGGCCCCCGTACAGGTGTACGCTGTAGCAGCCCAAGTCAATGAGGCCTTAGTGTATTGAAACACTTTTCACATGTCAGGATCAGTCCACACAGGACAGGAAACTGAGAAGAGATGGATTTGGGGGGCTCTGAACGTTGCTGGGTTCCACACACAGACATTTCCTATTCCCACAGCAGGGATATTCCCTAGATGCAGCGCCATGAGTTTCCAGCAGATGGCGATGTAGAAGACAGCCCTGTGTTATGGTTAGTAGAAGGCGTTCTGGCATCGTGGGTAATCAGTGATCCTCTGACGTCACTTCCTTTCACGTTTTCTACGGCTACACAGCGGAGGGCCTCCGGGCTGAGCCGCCGATATGAGGATCGAAAAGTGTTACTTCTGCTCGGCGCCCATCTACCCCGGACACGGCATGATGTTTGTGAGGAACGACTGTAAGGTAGGAGGATTGGGGGCTGCCATATGTCTGCCTGGGGAGAGTCCATCACCTATCAGAGGCGGCAGTGCCCTCACATATAGGGAGCTGTGTGTACACTGATCGGCCAATGTGATCTATATCCTACAAAGGTTATTATTATACAGGATTTATATAGCGCCAACAGTTTGCTCAGCACTTTACAGTATAAGGGGAGACAATACAGTCACAATACAGTTCAATACAAGAGGGATAGGAGGGCCCTGATCCTGGGAGCTTACAATCCAAGAGATGAACTCCACACACAGCCCAGCAGTGACATCTGACCCCCCCCCCCCCATCACCTCCACATGCAGGATGTGATGGGATGCTTGGATTGTCCAGGGAGGACCTAATACACAGGAATACTTATCTTAAAGGCAAAGCTTTATTTATTTTTGGATAGAATAAAAGAGTCTTAGAACCCCTGACAGTTTTTTTTCACCATCTGTGTCCCATAGGGAAGATTTCCCTTCACTTCCTGTCCCATAGTCAAAACAGGAAGTGAGGAAATCCCTGCAAAGTGAGAGAATCCTGGTGTGTCACCAGAACTAGTGTCCCCATTGGAGGATTTCTCTTTCTTCCTGTTCTGGTGACAACCCAACATTTGGGATTTTATTTTATTTGCAGTGATAACAATAAACAGGACAAATAGAGAGGGTGAATCTCCCTAATGGGGGCACAGACAGCAATAAAAACTGACGGGTTCTAATCCCTCTCCACCCCATCCAAAACTAAAAAAGAAAACGTTTTGCCTTTAGTTATACTTTAACCCTTTCACTGCCAGGTCTGTACATTGTATGGACCTGGCAGCAGGAGGTTTTATATATATAGTGCGGTGGCTGCAGCCACTGGGATTGTATAATATAGCTGTGTCAGAGTGAGAGCAATAATTCTAGCACACAATCTCCTTCATAACTGATGACCTGTAGGGGCTTTTGAAGTGGCATCTATAGAAAATTTAGGGAACTGAAGTTTGTCGCCATTTCATAGGCGCACACAAATTTAAGGTTTGGCACGTTGGGTATCTGTTTACTTGACGCAACCTCATCTTTTATATTTTACCAAAAATTTGGGTCATTTATTGCGTTTGTTTGCCCTAAAACTCTCTGTTTTTTACAGAAATGTTGCGTTTCCTAAACCTTTGCGGTAACATCATATGAAATATTGGAACTAGCACTAGTTTATTCTATAGGGTGTCTGCTTTCAGAAAATATATGATTTGGGGGAGGGTTGTTTAATCTTCAGACCTGAGATTTTTGAAACGTGTGCAAAATATGCTAAAATGGCCCTGGCAGTGAAAGGGTTAGAGTAGTATTAAATGCTCATGTTTTGTAGTTGAACACATTCAGTACAGTAAAATATATCCCAGTAAACTATTTGTAAAATTTTTTACCTTGCAGTTTACAACTTACAATGCTGCTGGCTCCTGCTCTCATGATGCTGCTTCCCTGAACTTCTGGTCTTCCCAGGAAAGTGGACAATGCAGTCAGGGGGCTACATGGAGAAGGGAGGAGCAGTGGAGTGCCTTGTCATCCTAGGATATAGGGCTGTGTGTTTATATTGATATACACAGTATGGGGAGACATAGCTCTATCCACGGCACTAGCTTAAACTGGAACATAGACATTATAAGGGGATATAGAAGCTGCAGGCTCAGTAAGGCTTCTGTCAAACTGGCAGGGGGGTAAATACTGGCAATTAAACTGCAGTTTTACCACCCGCCGACCATCTGGCCTTCAGTACAGCTGCAGGAGCCGGTTTGTGATGCCATAGCATGTGGTCACAGCAATTGTAACATGGCATGTTGAGTTGATAGGCAGCACACCTGTCAAAACTTGATTATTTAAGTCAATGGCGTGCAAACGTCCCATTAATAATTGCAGTTTGGCCAGAAAAAAAAAACAGGCATTCATGAGTCACTAGGATCACATTCTGAGAGCCTGACAGCTGCTTACAGTGTAAGTAAACTCCTTTTTGCATGTTTTATGTACAGGTGAGCCTTTATTAAGGCTTTACCTGTAGGTACTATAAATGTCTCCTAAACATGCACCCCTTAGGAGGTATTTTCTCTAGAAGCGCCGGTGATGTCACTGGCGCATGTGCACTGCACTCTCAATGGACAGTGACTTTCGGTGTTAACAGTAAACAGGACAAATAGGGTAAATGGGGGGCACAGATAGCAATAAAACCTGACCGATGTTCTAATCCCTCTGCGCTATATCCAAAACTAAAAAACAAAGTTTTGCCTTTAGTTTAGGGCTCAACAAATCCCAGGAACTAGGACACGATTTCTAGTCGCCATGGCAACATGGTGCCTGGGATTTGTCAAGCCCATTCCTAGCTGCCATCTATTGACGTCTTCCCAGAACTCCGCCCCCCATGCACGTCCCAGGGGTGCGCATTAGTCACTTTGGACACGGCTAACCACAGATTGAGGTAAAGAGCCAATCACAGTGGCCCTTTACCATGTGATCAGCTGTGCTCAATCACTGCTGATCACATTGTAAACAGACTTTGGTGTTTATTGACAGTCCTTTCCTCACGTGCTGTCACAGTGTGAAGAAAGGAGAGCTGGTAACTGGCAATTCTGACAAGCACAGTTTCACTGATAATCAGAGCACTGATCATCCTGATTATCACAGCCTATCATTTTCCCATCAGATGAACCTCATCCACACACACCAGTGAAGAAGAAAAATTACTTGTATGCAAAGTTTTCTAACACAAATTAAGAAAAATAATTTTTTATCCAACATTTTGGTCTTTGTTTAAGTAAAAAAATAAAATATCCAGTGGTGATTAAATCAAAAGAAAGCTCTATCAAAAAATGATCAAAATTTCATTTGGGTACAGTGTTGCATGACCGCACAATTGTCATTCAAAGTACGACAGCGCTGAAGGCTGAAAACTGGCCTGGGCTGGAAGGGGGTGAAAGTGTCTGGTAGGCAAGTTTTAAGATCTTTAAATAAAAAGGGCTTCCAATCTGTGCCCATCAGTGCCGCCTCATCAACGCACATCAGCGAAGGAGAAAACTTACCTTCTAAATTAAGAAAAATCTTTGTTTTTTTTTTGTTTGTTTAGCAAAAAATAACACACCCAGTGGTGATTCATACCACGAAAAGAAAGCACTATCTGTCTAAAAAAAAAATACCAATTTCAAATGGGTACAGTGTTGCATGACCGTGCAATTGTCATTCAAAGTGCGACGGCACTGAAAGCTGAAAATTGGCCTGAACAGGAAGGGGGTAAAAATGCCCAGTGGTTTTGGATGGAGTGTGGAAGAGTTATAGCCCCACCACACTGTGCATGGGTGTCAGCAATGAGCTGGCTGCAAGAACCAAGAGAAAGTTGGCTCCCTGGTGACATGGTGGTGAGGGACCTGTCAATCTGCAATTTACACTGGACAACTCTGGATTTGTTGAGCAAAGCTATGAACAGGGGAAGAGGGGAAAGAAAAAAACTATATAGCGTGGATGAAGTTCCTCTTTAAATATGGCATTGTGAACAATGGTATAAAATTACAATTTTAACCCCTTAACGCCTAAGGGTAAAACAAATCTAAATGCCTAATCACAATTCTGCAACGTTGACATGTTAGTAAAACCGTACATATCATCACAACTACTTTGTACATCCAGGTGGATTATACCTTGATTTTTTCAGGACAAATTGGGCTTTTATTTGGTGGTAAATAGTAATGGATATCTCCTGATTTTTTTTTTTTTATTATCAAAGGAAAACTGGCCCAAAATAGTAAAAAAAATCCTTTTTTTTTTTTTTTTTTATTTATTTAGCTGTGTGTTTCTTGTTACGACCATGACCTACCACCAAAGAACAACCCAAAAGAAATTCTCCAGCTCTTGACGATCGCAGCAATACCATACATGTGTATGTTATTTGTTGTTTGTACCCGTAGTACAGCCTAGAAACCATAGTGCGCATTTTGTTTTTTGTTTTTTTGGGTTTTTTTTAACCTAAAACACACTGACACCTATTTTTTTTTTTTTATTTAAATCCTGACCTTTGACCCTGACCTTTACACTAACCCTGGCAGTGAACTCGATCAAACTTTGATCTAGGTATTTTTATTTATTTATTTTTTCTTTTTTAATTTTTATTTATCTTTTTTTTTTTTTTTTTTTCTGCCAGGAGTTCAAGAGATACAATGTATCTCTCTTCTCCATTCATAGAGAGAGAAAAAAACAAGGGGGCCGGGCTGCACAGTGACTGATCATTGTGATAGCTAATCAGAGGCTATCACAGCGATCATGTGACCCGGGACCAGGAGTCCCGGGTCCCGATTGTTAGAACGGGACCCGGTGCTCTCAGTGACACCGCGGTCTCAGTGCTGGGTGCGCTACCAACACAAAGACAGGTATGCAAATATGGGGCCCCACGGAAAAAAGCCCAGTTCCGTGAGGCCGCATATTTGTGTGACGTCAGCGGGAAGGGGTTAAAATACCTTTACAGGATAGTGCTTTGACTACCCGTTCTCCGCCACACTGTCATTTTCACTAAAAGCAATCGCCACAATGTCAGACTCCTGCACTCCAGCGGGGGATCATGCTATTTACATGTTGTCATACTATCATCATTGTTTGAACACCATGATTCCTCAGCTAGAGTGCTGGGTGCGCATGCTTGGGATTGTGCTGACGTGCTGCCGATGCTCTGGGGGTTGTCTTAAAGTGATTCTAAAGGCTTAATGGTCCTCTCCCCCTTCATCACCCACCACCCCCTTATACTTACCTGACCCCCATCTCAATCCAGCTTTGTGCACAAGAGCAGCAGCTCTCCCGGGTCTCTCCCTCCTCATTGGCTTAGAGACAGCAGCAGAAGTCTAAGCTCCTGCTGCTGTCAATCAACGCCAGTGAGCAGAGGGCGGGGTGGAGCTGAACTAGAAGACACAGGGGCAGAGCACACACACAAATGCCCCAAGGACAAGTGGCTTGCTCTGGGGCACTCAGTAGGGGGAGGAGCCAGGAACACTGAGAGGCGACCTGAGAAGAGGACACACGAGTGCCCCCAGAACAAGCAGCTTCCTCTGGGGGCACTCAGAAATGGAAGGCTCCAGGGGCGCTGGCAGGCGACCCGAGAAGAGAATTGGTGCTGCTCTGTGCAAAACCGTTACACAGAGCAGGTAAGTATGATATGTTTGTTGTTGAAAAATAAATTTGAAACTTTTGTATCATTTTAAGACTACTGGGATATATTACATTCATAGGAGAGGAAACTAAAAAAAAAAAAACCCCCACAGGAAGTATATATGCAGTTCTTGAAGGGGAGATAAACAGGGAATGTGGAAAATAAGGATGTAGGGCCACTTCAATCCATGGTCCAGCAGCTTCCTCCCATCAGCTGGCTCTGTGGTAGAAATTTGTCCCACAAAGGGTGGGGAAGAAGATGACCATCGATCTGGCTGTTGTGGGACCCTTGATTAAGGCATTACTTTCTATTCTCTTTGGACAAATAGAGGGGTGGGGTGCAGAAAATGTGAATATTCCTAGGAGAGCACATTTGCACCAGTACAGAAACGGAAATCCAAAATGTTACACTCATCACAGGAACAGGAGCAGAAATCTGCCAGTGAGGATGCTTTTTCTGGTGACTCCCCTCCCTTTGGGGAGATTTCCTCCCATGTTCTCTTCTTTCTCTGGGAGAGGAAATGAAGGCATTCAGACAGCAAGAGAAACCCAAAAGAGGTTCCATCTCCTCCCATTGTATCCAAAACGGGTAAACCGTATTGGCTGCATTGCTGCTTTTAAATTCCTTCCATGGTTGCCAAATCAGCTATGGGCATAAATTCCAAATAGGGTTCCGCAGTTCATTGTTCGTATCCTCAGATTTTTATGACTTGGTTTCCACCAGTGTCATCCAGAGGAACATTGATTGCTTGTCCCAAAACATGACAAACTAATACTTGGAAAGGCCTTTAAGAAGAAACGTGATGCATTTTAAACTTACAAAAAAAAAAGTTGAGAGGGAAAAAAATGAACTAAAAACCGAGCGATGGGCATTTTCATGATATGCATCAATATAACTTTTCTTTCCTTGCAGGCATTTAGATTCTGTCGATCAAAATGTCACAAAAACTTCAAGAAGAAGCGAAATCCCAGAAAGATCAGATGGACAAAAGCCTTCAGGAAAGCAGCTGGTAAAGAGTTGACAGTGGTAAGTAATCACTGAACTAATTTAAGATTTGCCTGTCAGAAAAAAGTAAGAAACCACAGTTAGATATCAGTACATAAAGAGTAAGTGTTATGATATATCTAGTTTTATTGTTGACTTCTCAATGATTGGCACAAAATTATTATTATACAGTGTTTATATAGCGTCAAAAGGTTTGCTCAGCGCTGTACATTATAGTGGGGGACAGAACATGAGACAATACAGTAACAAAACAATACACGAGGGATTTGAGGGCCCTACTCTTTCGAGCTTACAATCTAGGAGGGAGGGGATAGTGGTACAGGAGGAAGTGGCTGTGGGGGATGGAGTGGTAGGAGGAGTGGAGGAGATTGGCTGATAAGTGAGGGTGGGGTAGGCTTCCCTGAAGAGATGGGTTTTCAGGGTGCGCCTAAAGTTGAGGAGGGTAGGCGACAGTCTGATGGATTGGGTTAGTGAGTTCCAGAGGGTAGGGGAAGTCCTAGAGAAGTCCTGCAGTCGGACGTGGGAGGAGGAGACCAGGGAGCTAGAAAGTAGGAGGTCTTGTGAGAAGCGAAGAGTACGGGTTGGGTGGTATTTGGGTATCAGGTCGGTGAGGTAGTTTGGGGCAGTGTTATGAATGGCTTTGTATGTCAGTGTTAGTAGTTTGAATTTGATGCATTGGGCAATCGGGAGCCAGTGGAGGGAATGACAGAGGGGGGTGGCAGAAGAGGAGCGGTTGGAAGGTGGATGAGTCTGGCCGCTGAGTTCAGGATAGACTGAAGTGGGGATAGTCTGTGATGAGGTAGGCCGGTGAGGAGGGAGTTGCAGTAGTCCAGACGTGAGATAATAAGGGAGTGAATGAGTTGTTTAGTATTGTCTGGGGTTAGGAACGAACGTATTTTGGAGATGTTGCGGAGGTGGAGTCTGCATGAGTTTGCCAGCGATTGGACATGGGGTTGGAAGGACAGGTTTGAGTCTAGAGTGACACCTAGGACTTTGGCTTGCGGGGTGGGACTGATGGTGGCGTTATTGGTCGTGATGGGGAGGGGGGGGGGGGGCGCGGGCTGGGAGCTCGGTTTTGGAAAGGTTCAGTTTGAGGAAATGGAGCGACATCCAGTCTGATATGTCGTTCAGTAGGTGGGTGATACGGGCGGAGACTGAAGGGGTGGGGTGGGGTGAGGTGAGGGGTGAAGAGGTAAATTTGCGTGTCATCGGCGTAGAGGTGATAGTTGAAGCCGTGGGAGTGTATCAGTTTGCTGAGGGAGGAGGTGTAGATGGAGAAGAGAAGGGGCCCAAGGACAGAGCCTTGGGGGACCCCAACAGAGAGGGGGAGGTGTTATGTTTTTGTACTTAATAATGTTCTGAAAATAAGGAAAACCAGTTCTACAGTGAACTAGTGGATAAAATGTCCGGCTGACGGAAAGATGATACATGCTACCGCTTTTGGCTTTCTCGTGCATCAGCCTATCCTAGAGGTAGACTGAAAGTAGGAGCAACTGATATCCTCAGTCTTGGCACACTGGCAGGTTTCCTTTAGTAGATTCCATAGTATACCAGTAATATGTACAGTGGATATAAAAAGTCTACACACCCCTGTTAAAATGTCAGGTTTCCGTGATGTAAAAAAAATGAGACAAAGATAAATAATTTCAGAACTTTTTCCACCTTTTAATGTTGAGCCTATAAACTGTACAATTCAATTGAAAAACAAACTGAAATCTTTTCGGTGGAGGGAAGTAAACATAAAAAAACTAAAATATTATGGTTGCATAAGTGTGCACACCCTTAAACTAATACTTTGTTGAAGCACCTTTTGATTTTATTACAATCTTTTTGGGTATGTGTCAGCATGGCACCTCTTGACTTTGCAATATTTGCCCACTCTTCCTTGCAAAAACACTCCAAATCTGTCAGATTGTGAATGCATCTCCTGTGCACAGCTCTCTTCAGATCACCCCACATTTTTGATCGGATTCAGGTCTGGGCTCTGGCTGGGCCATTCCAAAACTTTCATCATCTTCTGGTGAAGCCATTCGTTTGTTGATTTAGATGTATGCTTTGGGTCGTTGTCATGCTGAAAGATAAAGTTCCTCTTCATGTTCAGCTTTCTATCAGAAGCCTGAAGGTTTTGTGCCAATATTGACTGGTATTTGGAACTGTTCATAATTGCCTCTACCATGACTAAGGCCCCAGTTCCAGCTGAAGAAAAACAGCCCCATAGCATGATGCTGCCACCACCATGCTTCACTGTGGGTATGGTGTTCTTTTGGTGATGTGCAGTGTTGTTTTTAAGCCAAACATATCTTTTGGAATTATGGCCAAAAAGTTTAACCTTGGTTTCATCAGACCAGAACACATTTTCCCACATGCTTGCCTGTTCCTAGCTGCTCTTTGGGTTCCCAGCGATGGCATGTTTATTGTGGGAAGCCAGCTGTGACTCTTTACAGCTTCACAACCAGTTTCCTGTTGCTCTATGTGAATGGTCCCAGAGCCTCACAGGATCTGTGATGTGCCGCAAGAGATTATGGGCAGGGAGGGGCACAAATTTCCAGTGGAATCGACTGGGGGATCTGATGAGCTGGGAGCAGATATCCACCAAAACTGTACATTCTATGCAAATGGTGGCGGTGGCAGTGATCCTGCACAACTTTACCTGACTACATTTTTTTTTTTTTTTTCTTATGTCAAACTTTTTAAGTTGTGCCTGTTGTGGGAGAAATTCAGGAATTTCCATTGCTGACACTTTGCTTGTTTTCTTTTGCTAATCCTCTGGCTTCAATACTATGTGAGCCAGAGAAAATCATAGGTTTTAATCGGAACATTCTTCTGGGTAAGTGACGCAACATAATAAAGGATAAGTTCACCTTTTGATAAAAAAAAAAAAATAAATGCACATTTTTTGCAGGTTAAAAAAAAAATGTGCATTTATTATTTTTTTTTCTGCAGGAGCCTGGAAAGCATTGCAGGTTTCCTGTAGATTTGTCAGTATATCTGCTTGCCTGTACGGGATGTACGAGCAAGATATACTGACAGGAAGAATGAATGAGCTACCACAGCACTCCAAAGCACCTTGGTAGTTTGAGAACTACAAGCCGATGGCCACTAAGGCTGTTGGGACTTTTAGTTTCTCATACACAGAAGAGTGATGCAGCCAGGTGGGAGGAGCCTTGCACGCCACTTTTTTTAATATTTGACAGCTAGTGATGGGGGGGGTCAAAGTGGGGAATGCTTTCATAACATGTTACACCCTGAATATGGGTGTAACATGTTATGAAAGGTGAACTTATCCTTTAAAGCCAGAGGGTCAGGCACCCAGAATTTTCAGGAGGAGAGGTCGGCAATTGCAGTCTCCATGTTTCTCCTATAAGTAACTTCATTGCTAATTCATACCTATGCAGATTTGAAAAGTAATAAATACAGTACACTTTAAATACAGAATGTGATCTATTAGTAGTTGCTTAAACAATATTTCATTGCAGGATAATTCATTTGAATTTGAAAAAAGAAGAAACGAACCTGTCAAGTACCAAAGGGAGTTATGGAGCAAGACTGGTAATTTATTTTTTTATCCCTTTTTTTGCTTTTTCCTTTTTTACTGTCAAGAAACCCTAAAAGTATACTTGCCTCTTATTTTGACAAATTGGAGTTTGCATTTATTATATAGTTAAGATTTAAGATGCCCAGAATGACTGCTTGCACTGTTGACACAACAGTCCTGCCATATGTCCTATGGCCCTAGTTGATGTTATTGCATGTGCAGTTGATTTACATCTGTCTAATGCCAGAAAGTGGTTGCATGGGTGACATAAGGAGCTGGGCTTAAAGCTGATCCTCATTTTTTTTCCTTTTGCCCCTGCTTACTTCTCTTGTTTTGCCTCTGCTTGGTCCTGCACTGCCATGTTTGTGTGACATCATCGGTAGGCACCAGCTATCCTGGTTCAGCTTGCCGGTGTACCAGTAGTGTGCCCTGCCCCCCCCCCCCCCCCCAATTTAATGAATGGAGGGGCAATGCACAGTGCACGTCAGTTGCCTAGGCTAATTATGTTAACAGGCGGACAGCCCAAATTTTTTTGCTCAAAAAAGAAGGAAGAAAACAACAAAAAGTGGGCTGTTTAAGGATAGGAGGGGTGGAGATGATGGAAGAGTCCCAAAAGGGTGAAGATCCACTTTGAGGAGCAAATGGTCAACAGTATAAAATAAAGGAGGTCTTTGCTTTAATGAGGGAGCTTAAAGCAGAGGCTGAATGGGACAGGCGGATACAAGGAGGAGATGGAGGAAACTAAAAAGGCTCTGATACCACAGAGCAGTTGTTGGGCACAGAGAACATTTAGGATGTGGGTTGTATAAACTAGGGCTCGGGTAACAAAAAAAAAAAGGCTCAGCAGAGAAAAAGACGAGTTGATGGGACAAAGAGGCAAAGATGGGCCACAACCGAGTGAGAGGATGAAATGAGAGGCTAAATTGGGCCTACAGGAGGAGAAATGCAAAATACACAGACAATGCGAATAGAGGTGCAGTAACAATGCAAGAGACATGAGGCATGAAAATAAAGAAATCACTGGTGGGGCAGAAAAGTTCAGACAGGAGGGTGATGGGGAATGCTGCTACCACTGCTTTATTTCCATTATAACTTGCCATGGTAGTGAAACCTTTTGTACATGTTTTATGTCCTAGTTAGCATGGCAGGCTACAGACAAAAGAGCAGGTTTGCAAATGTGTAAAATTCCTGGTTTTCTTTATACATTGATGGCCAATGCTGGTCCTAGGTAGTATTGACCTCAATGGAGAAGGGAGCAAGGTTAGGGAGAGGGGAAAAAAAGGCAAGGTCGAGTCCCGCACGCATGCAAACAGCGACCGTCCCACACAGGTGAGGTGTCGCCACGATCGTTGGATCTTGGGTGGTAATTATAGTACTAGACATCCTCTGTAAATCTAGTGGTAATCTGTAAAGGCTTTTAAAGCATCTCCTCTGGATAGAAAAATTTACGTTGTTTTTTGCTATTGCACGGGCGTTTGCAATTTTAAAGCGTGACATGTTTAGCATCATGTATATAATGTTTTGGGGATCTAAGACATTAAAAATAAATAAATACAGATTTTAACCTCCAAACAAAAAGTACCGGAAATGGCCTGGAGCTGCAGTGCATAGTGGCTAATCTTGTTTCATAGTTGGAAAAATAGAGCAAGTGTATGAATACATAAGATCACATCAACAAATATTTTAAAATAAACACTGCAAGAAAAATTTCAAAATGTGTACTCATTAAAAATATCTGTACTGTCTTTTACCAGCTCTACATGGTGTTGATGAGCCAATAGGTAGATTCCTGTACCCAACAGGCAATTTCATGAAGCCAAAAGAGTTGAATTACCACTAATAGCAATAAAAAGCATATGCCAGCTCTAGTGTTTTTGTGTTTTTGTTTTTCCGGTCTTATTGGCTCCTCGGATTTGCCCAGCAGTGATGCAAAATACTTTTTATGATAAGTGGTCACATAGATATTTGCCCAATTATTGACAATCTTAGCCCAAATGTTTGTAGATAATGCTACTGACCTTGCTGTGCAGGATATTAAGACTTTAAAAACTTTGACTTCTATTTTTAAACCGTTTGATATTCTTTACTGATCACTTTAGATGGCTAATAGAACAATTTTCTATCTGTGCTCCTAATTATGCACACACACAACCAGATTGTAAGCTCCAACGCACAACCTAGTTTAAATGGAACTTGGTACCTTCCACTATGGTTTTTGTACTGTGCTTGGAACCTGGAGCTTTAAATGATAAGTTCACCTTTTAAAAATAAATAAATAATAAATGCACATTTTATTTGCAGGCACAAACAACATGTAACATGTTTCCAAAGGTGAAATTATCCTTTAAGCTCTACCTCTGCCACCTGCCGGCCTTTTAATATGTACTAAATTCACCAGGAGCTTTTTGGTACCTGTTTGGTCTTTTGTACTGGGAATTTACAGGGCACGCGCTCTCAGCATAAATATCTTTACATTTGGGACACACATATGCAGCCTCTTGGCGTTTAAAGCCCACCCTTCGAGAGGCTGCATATATGCATACGGCCAGCAGGAAGTGGTTAAAAATCTGAACAAACATGAGGAGAACAGACAAACTCAATGCTGAACTTTGGCTTTTCTTAAAATTGGGCTTACTGTAAGGAAAACATTGCTGACCACTTAACCTATGTTGTCCACCATGAGTTATTGCTTCGATTTGTTAAATGTAAAAGTGTATATTTTTCAGCTATTTCTTTGCACTCTGTTTATTGAATATAAATTATTTTTGTAGTTGATGCTATGAAGAGAGTAGAAGAGATCAAGCAGAAGCGGCAAGCGCGGTTTATCATTAACAGGTGAGATTTGCTCCACTGGCTTTGAGCTATATGATTGCATTTCATAGCACATATTGTCACACATTTTCTTTTTGTCCTAGATTGCAAAAGGGCAAAGAATTACAGAAAGCCCAGGACATCAAAGAAGTCAAACAAAACATACACCTTATCCGGGCTCCTCATGCTGGTAATATATGATTCAGCCCTGTGCTGAACATCATTCTAACACGTTGTACAGCAGACAGCGTCTGCATTTTTTTTTTTTTAACTTTTAATGTTTGCATATATTCCACCCTAGTGGAGCACACACAGCTCTGGTTTTCATTAAAGTGGAATTCCAGACTATTGCCAACTGTGCTTAAACCCACTCCCACCCCGATTCTAAATCCTATTCTAACTACCCCATAAAAGGAAGATGCTTATACTTGCCAATTTTCAGGGCTCTACAGTCTGGTCATGTGATCAGCTCCCAGTGGCCAGCTTCAGAGGAGAGGAGGGACAGCTGAAACCGGATGCCCTATAGTAAGCCTATGGGTGATGTCACCACCCAGGCATTCCAGCTGTTGGCGATCTCCCCTCTCCCCTGAAACTGGCTGCTGAGTAAGATGAAGTGACTGCTGGTGTCTCAGCCAGTGAAGAGGGAGAGACTAGGGACAGCCAAGGCTCTCGTGCAAATCGGTGGATCGACATGAGGCTCATGTAAGCATTGGGGGGCTGCTGCACACAGAAGGTTTTTTATCTTTAAGCATAGTTAGCAGTCTCATGGAATTCCACTTTAAACTGTTTGAATGCAAAGGGTAAAGACTATTTCTATCCCAATTCCCTAACCAGTTCCAGTACTAGATCACATGTAGGTCTGCATTATGTCTCATGGGTTCACATTGCTTACATTGTTAGTATTATGGCTACATTCTGACCTAAAGTGGATCTGTAGTCACATAAAGGTACAAAATTGACATCCTGAACTTCCACATTTCTGAGTGCATGAAGTATGTTCCTATGAATTTATTATCTGATGCAGTAAGTAAAAATGCACTGATGTTGGAGGCCTGGCTCGCAGTCTCCGCTCTAATTCATCCCAAAGGTGTTCTACTGGGTTGAGGTCAGGATTCTGTTCAGGCCAGTCAAGTTCCTCAACCCTAAACTCCCTCATCCATGTCTTTGTGGACCTTGCTTTGTGCACTGGTGAGCAGTCATGTTTGAACAGGAAGGGGCCATCCCCAAACCTTTCCTACAAAGTTGGGAGCATGAAATTGTCAAAAATGTCTTGGTATGCTGATACCTTACGTGTTCCCTTCACTGGAACTAAGGGGCCAAGTCCAACCCCTGAAAACCAACCCCACACCATAATCCCCCCTCCACCAAACTTTACACTTGGCACAATGCAGTCAGGCAAGTACCATTCTGCTGGCAACCGCCAAACCCAGACATGTCCACCGGATTGCCAGACAGAGAAGCGCGATTCATCTCTCCAGAGAACACGTCTACGCTGCTCTAAAGTCCAGTGGCGACATGCTTTACACCACTGCATCCGATGCTTTGCACTTGGAGATGTAAGGCATGGATGCAGCTGCTCGGTCATGGAAACCCATTCCATGAAGCTCTCTATGCACTGTTGTTGTGCTAATCTGAAGGCCACATAAAGTTGAGGTCTTTAGCTATTGACTCTGCAGACAGTTGGCGACTTCTGCGCACTGTGTGCTTCAGCATGCGCTGACCCCGCTCTGTCATTTTTCGTGGCCTACCACTACGTGTCTGAGTTGCTGTTGTTCCCAGTTGTTTCCATTTTGTTATAACAGCACTAACAGTTGATCATGGAATATTTAGTAGCAAGGAAATTTCACGGATGGACTTATTGCACAGGTGGCAACCTACCACGGTACCATGCTTGGATTCACTCCTGAGAGCGACCCATTCTATCACAAATGTTTGTAGAAGCAGTCTGCATGCCTAGGGGCTTGATTTTATACACCTGTGGCCATGGAGGTGATTGGAACACCTGAATCCAATGATTTGGAGGGGTGTCCCAGTACTTTTGGCAATATAGTGTATATCAACATACCAAACTAGTGGTGTGGAACTTTTTGTTCTTTGCAAGTTTTGGGGATGGATTCTGCTTAGGAGGTGCCTTCTCTTCTAGCAGCAGAGCTCAGGGTGTCGGCTGGGAAGGTTGTCACTTGGAGTATCTTGATTGCTCTTCTCAAGAAGATAAAACCAGGAGAATTTCAGGATAACAGACATATTTTGTTCTTATACTTTGCTCTCAGTGGTTACTTTATTATATACACTTTCTAATTAATGCATCAAACATCAAATCATGGCTTTAACCAAATAGAGGGCTATATTAGGAGATTAGGTTGGTTTTTGAACAAACATTATATGACCAGATTATTGTTGCTAGATATGGGTGGTTGCATCATCTATAGACTGTAGAGCCTTTCACTTCTAGCAGGTGCAGTAAGTGTAATTCAACATTGTCTGTCTGTATTTTGTATTTTTAGGAAAAGCCAAAAAATTGGAAGACAAAATGGTTCAGCAGTTACAGGAGGATGTGGATATGGAAGAATCGTCATAGAAGTGGATATAAACATCATCTTTGTTGTCACTGCAGTGTGCTTCTATGTGGGAACATTTGTACAGCATTTCAGAACAGTCCAAACTGCATTGATGAAGCAAGACTGTGTGTGTTTGGTCTGAGAAATAAATTTTTATTTACTCTTAGTATGCTCATATATTCATTTCAACGTGGTGAATACATATAATGTGTGTAAAAGGCCAGAACCCTTCAACCATCTACATATAGCAGAATTTAAAATGACTTTAGCTTGCAGTATGACCTATTCAATTCTATGTATCTCTTTTTATAAAGTGGTGAATGCCTAGAACCCCTGTCAGTTTTCACTGTGATTTGGGGCTCCTTTAGAGACCTCATGGTGACCGTTATTTCACCAATAGAATATGAGGTAAAATCTAAAACATGGACAGAGAATACTTAGAAAGCTGGCAGGGGTCTTAACTTTCCCCCTGCTATACAAAAAATATTTCTGTCTGTGTTGCTAATGGAGATTTTCTTACTTCCTCTGAGGAGGCTGAATTACAGTTTTTGTTATATCCAGCTGTTTACTCAATGCAACTTATAACATCCAAATGAATGATATAACACCAACATGTCAGAAAAATAAAAACAAAAACAGAATCACTAAGTTGAAAAAAGGATCACCCCCTTTTGTCAGTAATTTGTTTAACTACCTTTTGCTTTAATTACAGTCTGTTGGGATATGTTTCTACTCTTTTACATCTAGACTTTTCAGTATTTGCCCACTCTTCTTTGCAGAACTGCTCAAGTTCAGTTAAATTTGATGGTGACCGTTTGTGGACTGCAGTCTTCAAGTCATTCCACAGATTTTCAACGGGGTTTAAGTCTGGGCTCTGACTAGGTCATGCAAGGACCTTGTTCTCCTTCAACCACTGTGTGATCATTTTGCTGTGTGCTTTGGGTCATTGTCATGTTGGAAGGTAAACCTTCTTCCCATTGACAACTTCCAGGCAGAGGGCAGCAGAATTTCCTCACAAATTTGATGGTATTTTGCCCCGTCCATTTTCCTTCTATCCTGCCAAGTACCCCAGTCCCTGCTGGAGAGAAACACCCCCATAACAGGATATTACCACCTCCTTGCTTTACTGTAGGAATGGTGTTATTTGGATGGTGAGCTGTATTGGATTTCCACCAGACATATCTTTGGTGTTGAGGCCAAATAATTAAATTTTAGTCTCATCTGACCAGAACACCTTTCTCCATGTGACCTCAGAATCTTCAAGGTGTGTTTTTGACAAAGCTCAGTTGTGACTGCATGTGGCCTTTCTTGAGGAGTGGCTTTTTTTCTTGCAACCCTCCCATACAGGCCACATCTGTGGAGAATTTGTGATATTGTTGTCACATGCGCGCAATGACCACTCTTTGTTATTAATTCCTGCAACTGCTCCAGATTTGCTGTAGGCCTCTTAGTAGTCTCTCTGACCAGTTTCCTCCTGGCTCTTTCATCCAGTTTGGAGCGACGTCCTGATCCAGGGAGGGTCTGTGTTGTACCAAATACCTTCCACTTCTTAATAGACTTCACTGTGCTTCTAGGCATTGATAAAGCCTTTTGAAATGTGTTTGTATCCATCTCCTGACTTGTTCCTGTCCACAACTGTATCCCAAGATTCTTTTGACAGTGCCTTGCCACCCATTGTTGATTGTTTGCCTCAGTTACACTACTAGGGACTGAAATGCTCTAGGAAAGCTCTTTTCATGCTGAGTTAATCAAAATGATCACAGCTGAAAGTCAAATGGTTTTGTGTGCCATTGAGAAGGTGATTAGCTACACCTGATTGAGTTTACAAGTCATTTTTAGGAAGGAAGTGATCCTTTTTCCAACTCTGTGGTTGTTTTTAAATTTTCTTTCTGACATGTTGATCTTTATAGGTTGCAGTGAGTAAATACAGCTGGATAAGTAAAAAACTGAGTCTGTTCATTTCAGGCTGCAAAGCAACAATATGTGATTTGTGTCACTTTGTGATCAGAGTATAGCATCAAGTCAATTAACCTCCTGGGAGATAGGCCACTGACACTATTTTTCCCCAACTCCTCTTTTCTGACTGTTTTTCACTAGTTTTGCATTTGGCTAGGGTCAGTGTCACTACTGGTAGCATGAGGCGATACCTGGACCCTACAGAGGTTGCACAGGCAGTGCAACTCCTCCATAATGGCACAATAATATGTGCCATTGCCAGATGGTTTGCTGTCTCCCAGTCTCAACAGTGTTGAGGAGATTCCAGGAGACAGGCAGTTACTCTAGAAGAGCTGGACAGGGCCGTAGAAGGTCCTTAACCCATCAGCAGGACCGGTATCTGCTCCTTTGTGCAAGGAGGAACAGGATGAGCACTGCCAGAGCCCTACAAAGTAACCTCCAGCAGGCCACTGGTGTGAATGTCTCTGACCAAACAATCAGAAACAGACTTCATGAGGGTGGCCTGAGGGCCCGACATCCGCTAGTGGGCCCTGTGCTCACTGCCAGGCACCATAGAGCTCGATTGGCATTTGCCATTGAACACCAGAATTGGCAGGTCCACCACTGGTGCCCTGTGCTTTTCACAGATGAGAGCAGGTTCACCCTGAGCACATGTGACAGGTGTGAAAGGGTCTGGAGAAGTTGTGGAGAATGTTTATGCTGCCTGTAACATTGTTCAGCATGACCGTTTTGATGGTGGGTCAGTGATGGTCTGGGGAGGCATATCCATGGAGGGATGGACAGATCTCTACAGGTAGAGACAATGGCACCCTAGGCATCAGGATGAAATCCTTGGACCCTACGCTGGTGCAGTGGGTCCTGGGTTCCTCCTGGTGCACGGCCATGCCCAGCCTCATGTGGCGCTAGTATGCAGGCAGTTCTTGGAGGATGAAGGAATTGATACCATTGAATGGCGACCATGCTTGCCTGACCTAAAATCAGTAGAACACTGATGGGGATATCCTGTTTTGGACCATCCAACGCTGCCAGGTTGCTCCTCAGACTGTCTTGGAGTTCAGTGATGCCCTGGTCCAGATCTGAGAGGAAATACCTCAGGACACCAGCCGTCGTCTCATTAGGAGCATGTCCCTGATGTTGTAGCATGCATACAAGCACGTGGGGTCCATACAAACTATTGAGTACCATTTGTGAGTTGCTGCAATGAATTGTCATCAAAATGGACTAGCCTGCTGCATCATTTTTTCACTTTGATTTTTGGGGTGTCTTTGAATTCAGTCCTCTGTAGGTTGATAAATTTAATTTCCATCAAACGATGGGGCATCTTTACCTTCCGAACACATTACCCAGTCCATATCAGTATAGATATCCAGCATTATACTTTCCCCATTGAGATCTGATGTGTTTTCAAAGTGTTCCTTTAATTGTTTTGAGAGGTGTGTGTGTGTACGTGTGTGTGTGTTTGCGCGCGCCCAGCTTTGCAATCCACTGAAAATACTGTCATGTCATTTTTAGTCAGTCAAATTTTAAAAAATTGTCAGTCAAAAAGCATACACATCTTAATTAACACCAACAATTGTATTGACTGACATTTTTAAGCTTAAAGGATAACTCCAGTTCTTTGGGAAAAAAATATAGCATATCTATCTACACATCATATACAGTTGCTACACAAGTCATGTTGTAATTTAATGTAACTAAAATTACCTTTCCTTTTCACACTTCAAGACTTTAATTTTCTGTAAAATTCAATGCAATATGGCAACCTTCAGGGGTGTACACAGTTGATGTAGACCACTTACCCAGAAATGTAATTTCCCACTTGTATGATTGGCTCACTGATTTTCTCAGAAAATCAATGTTAAGATCACGTTGGATTTTCGGCATCACCTGCAAAAGAAATATACATTTTGGTGAGATACTCCCCATGGGATAATTACTTCTAAAGGGATGTAACTTTCCTCATTAGAACACAAAGTTCATTAATCAGCTGATTATTAATGAACCAGACCCTCCCATGCAAAATGATTCTGTGATTAGTCTGCTGAAAGAGCTGTTTCTTCACAGCAATAAAAGGTAGGAATCTGCTACAAAATGCTATAAAATCCCTACAATGTACACTAATCATCCAGAGGTTTTTTTTTTTTTTTCCCCTCAGAAAAGTGGAGCTACTTTTTGATTTAGCCCTACTTCACAGCGGTGCGACTTGTCATGCAATTTGACAGTTTCAAATCACATGACAAGTCGCACCCTATTGTCAGCAATAGAACCGTTCACATTGTTTCAACTCCTAATTCATTGCAGCCACATCAGTTCTGAAAGTAGTTCCTGCACAGATGTGACTTGCATAGACATCCGAGCATGAAGTCGCTCAGATGTCTGCCATGTGAGATCTAGTGTGAACCGGGGCTAAATTTAAGACCTTGGAAGTTTTTGTTACATTTCTTAATTTAAATATTAGGGAAGTTATTTGAACCATGTGTGGATGAAAGCGTAAGAAGGTGGAAAACTCTTCAGTCTATGACAGATTCCTCTTCCCTATGGAAAATAAAAATGTTCAAAGACGGGTGTGTGGTGGAAGAATCTGTGCAATTTTGCAAGTAGCATTGTAATAAACAATGATCATATACTTTTTTTTTATTTTCTCTTTTGAATAATGCTTTTGTAGTACAGAGATGCAAGGCTGTTTTTAGATGGGTATATTTCCTGCCTTTGTGACCATTTTGTGAGCAGTAATGAGGTGTGGATGCTACTGCAGTAGTTAGCTGGTGGTCATTGACTTACAGGTCCAAGAGCGTTTTAAAGCAGAACTACAAAATCTGTTCTTTAGGGACTAAGGCTGGCCATACATTATACAATTCTCTTCCAATTTTCTGCCCAATTTCTTTTAGATTTACCTTCAACTGTGTAGTGCAAGGTCCTGCCTAATTGGATACAACTGAAAGTGTTGTTTAGGTTTGTCCTATTATATGGTTTTTGGTAAATCGAAACCAAAAATCTCCAGATAATTGTATAATGTATGGCCAGCCTAAGGGGGATATTTACTAAACTGGAGCAGACACAATCT